TCAATTGTTTAATAAGATATTGAGCTTATTTACTGTGCACTTTTATGTGGTGCTGATTAAACGGGGAGTCATTAGAGCTACAAGTTTTGTTGATAACGACATAAGATTGGTCTTATATTTTGTAGAGAAAGATCATTATCTATTTGTCATACAGATAAAGGGAAAGTAGGAGTGGGACTCACCAGGGGTGGAAGTTGAGGATGTATAGCCTGAAAGATTGATACATAATGGCCAAGTTAAGAAAAATGTTCCAAAAATTCTTGAACACTACTCAATATATGTATAACCAGTATACTTCAATTTGCATTATTATTTTTTTCAAAAACTAAAAAATTTAAATAATATAGTGGTTACTTAACAGTGACCCAACCTAAACAGGGGAAGAAAAGGAAGAAGAACGTACAGATGAAGGTAGTACTTAATTAGTGTAACATCAGAAATGTATTTTTCACGACGATTAAGTGGCCAAACATATAATTAATGCGATTGTGAAAAGCGGAAGCATTCTTTGAATGCTCTTTTCTAGCTTCGTTTGGTTGAAGTTTTCTAAGTAGTTTATAGTATTGTCCTATGCCTCATGCGACTATATATACATGTGAAGTTGCTTTTTACAACCATTAAGAGTTGATTCTAAGTAGATTAAATTTATAAAATTTTGTAAGATATAAAAAGTATTTTATTACTTTGTCAACAAAGTTTATTTTAATATATAATGTATTTTTAAAAATATAAATAAATATTTATTACAAAACTATATAAAGAAGCCCTTGCACTTTTGATAATATTTGTCAATGTTTGTATTCAAATTAATATCGTCAATTCTAAAAGTTAGTGTTCTAAATGCTACATTCATAATGGAAAAACAATATGGAATGTAACGATGCTAATGATCATGAAAGGTGAATAAATAAGCAAACCCTACAAAAGACACCTTTTACTGCAGAACATTCGACATAGTCCAAAGTTAATGTGCATCGGATGCAGTTGATATGTTGTGGTGGAATGAAAGATAACTGTCGGAAAATTTTATCTCTCTTCTTTGTTGGCACCTTATTCAGAGCCAAACCATTCCCACTTTTGAAGCTGATGCATGATGTCCATGAAGACATCATGTTAAATGGGAAATTGGAAAAAATGTATGAATGAAGGTACTTTATGGATTCAGAACTGTTACAGTGCAGAGGTTAATATACAATAGAGTGATCTAAAATCTAGGAAATAAACTAGGACATTGACTAATCTAAGGGCAAGGAAAATTTCCTAAGATTATTTACACACGAGCTAAATCTGGGGATGAAAATCTGAACTTTCTACCTAACACGTATGCAACATATTAAGGAATGTGCCAACCCTCCACCAAGTTGGCCTGTGAATGTTGAGAACTCCCAACTGCCAACCAACGATTTTAATGTCACTACTTGGTGAAAATATAACTACTTAATTTTCGGAAGAAACATGTAAAATCTAAATGTTTTAATGTCCTTAGTCATTAATGCAAAACTAAAGATTAATTAGATACAACATGAAGTGTGACTTTGTTTTTAATTTGTTCATAACAACATAATTTATATGATAATTTGATTTTTTTTAATGTATGCTTAATGTTAGTAATATATTAGAGTCATTATTTTTAATAAAAACTTGTTATATATAACTCTTTAATATATATCATTAGATACAATGATAATTTAATTTGTCTACTTTAACATATCATTTTATAAGAAAACAAACTTTAGTTCACTCAAGTTAGAGGCATCTGTGCTGTATATATTTAATTTCGAAGACTTGTTTACAAGCAAAGAGCTTTTTAATTAGACGAAAGTGGTAGTGACAAATTGACATTAAAAAATCATACACAATTTGTAATCAAAGATTAATGAGAAAAATTATTGAACACATGAATTAACTGATACATAATTATTTCAGTTAATGTGATTTTAAATTCAAGTTTGAGTAAATATACTTAACTTGAGATATACTCATTCCCCCAAACTTACATGGAATGGTTTGTGCTTATCATCTTTAAATACCAACAAAGTATGCTTCACTTAAAGCAAAGTGATATGTAGGAAATTTTGAATAAAATTGGAAGCATATAGTCTTACTTTAGAAATAAAGATAAGGGAAGGTGGGATTGAATTCAACACCACACAGAAGCTGACAAGAAAAGAAGGGGGTTGTTGGGGAATTGGGTGGTAGAAATTGATAGAGAGGTAAGCCCTACCTTCTTGCATGGAGGACTCTTCCAAGTTGGAGCAAGAGCCACTAGTTTTATCACTGAATGCGTGGCTCATGGTCACAGCCACTCTCATTCCATTGCTTTGGTGATTTATGGTTAGGACCACTCTCAAATAATTGCATGCCCTACCACCATCACATTTCATCGTTCATTGAGGCTCTATTCGGAGAGTACATGTTTGTTTTGGTGGTGAAATTATGATCAATTTTATTAGCATTCAAATCATGGCTGAAAAACATTATAAGAGAATCGAGACATATATTCACAGTATTTTTTTACAACTTTTTTAAACTATGATTAAATGAAATTCACCAATTCATCTAATTTCCTGTGCCAAAATTGAGATTAATTGTAGTCTAATGAAGAGAATGCATGTGCTGATTGGTAAACAAATTGGACCATTTCAGCAAAAATTATTATTATTCGGTCAAGCATTCAGCAAGAATTAGAGTTCATATTCTTTACTGCCCTCCTCCAGCTTGGGCCCTTCTTTAGTCTTGGGCTTTCATACCCCGAATCCTATCGTAGTTTTTCTACGTTTGGGCTTTTGCTCCTTCAACTATAAAAAAATTGAATAAAGAGAGATAAAATAAAAATATATGTTTGGACCCAAAAAAAAAGTTCCAAACTAATTAAGTTAGGGTTACTCTCTCTCTCGGTGAACCAAAAAATTCGGGTGACGCCGGTGAAAACATAGCTAGTATTTTTTTTGTCATGAAACATAGCTAGCTAACCAAGGTTCGAGGAACAACTTTCATGAGTCTTTCTCATGAGGGATGAACAGATATCACGGCCCAAGTTGGCCTACCTCTCATTAATCTTGATTAAAAGAATAATTTTGATCGTGACCCAAGAAAAAAAATTAATAATTTTGACATTTTAACTTCACTTTTTTCAATACCACCCAACATTTCTTTTTATGGTGAGAAGTTAGGGAAAGAAAACGAAATTATAAAATTTTCTTTTCTTACTTTTTACTTAAAATGAAGGGTATGAGGTAGTGTAAAAAATTATCAAACAAGAACATTTTTTAAAGAAATTCCTAATTTCGATAAAGTAAATTCATTCACCTCAATTTGCCAACCAAAAATAAAATTAAGTAGGTTGATTAAATTTCAAATAGTGGGTTCAATAGATTGATATGTTGCCTTTTTTTTTTGTATTAAATTGCTTAAATAACAAATAAAGAAAATAGAAGACAAACGGATCAGACAATATAACAGTGGAAGTATAATTGCAGGTTTTTTTGCCTGTATAGGGTTAAATCAAAAACATTTTATCTGTATGGGGTTCTTTGACAACAAATTTCCTGTCTAGGATGATTTGTGAGTGTCGTAAAAAATGTTGGCGACACATGATCAAGCATCGGCTGAAAGAATGGCGACACAGCCCGACTACTGAGAGCGGTTCAAAAGGAACCGCTCTCTAATATAGACATCTTAGAGCGGTTACTTTCAAACCGCTTTCATAAATCAATTTTAGAGAGCGTTAGAAAGTAACCGCTCTAAGAAGTTCATTTTAGAGAGCGGTTGTTATGGAACTGCTCTCTAAAATGGACTTTTGAGAGTGGTTCGATTCGAACCGCTCTCAAAAGTCATGTAAAATATTATTTTAAAATATTTTAGAGACAGACGACTAGAAAAGAGTGTTCGTGGTGGTGTTTCTTCGTATTCGTTGTGTTTCTTCATCTTAGTAAATGTTGTTCTTACGGCTTTCTTTGTATTCATCTTAGCAACAGGAACAAAATGCTGTTAATGGTTGATGGTCCAGCCATTTTTATTTATTTTTGTTTTCTTCCTGCGGTAAATGTTGAACTATCACCTTCTCGCCTGAAAACAATGTCCCAGCAACCGAATCTTCCATCACTTATCCCACGAAAGGATTATGAATTAAGTAATTAAGGAAAATTCACTGAAGAATTATGAAATTAGGTGTTTGGTGTTGTAAAAATAATTTTAAAATGGACTCTCTAACATGACTTCTTAGAGCGGTTCAATAACAACCGCTCTCTAAAATGCACTTCTTATAGCGGTTACTTTCTAACCGCTCTCTAAAATTGATTTATGAGAGCGGTTTGAAAGTAACCGCTCTAAGATGTCTATATTAGAAAGCGGTTCCTTTTGAACCGCTCTCAATAGTCGGGCTGTGTCGCCATTCTTTCAGCCGATACTTGATCATGTGTCGCCAACATTTTTTACGACACTCACAAATCACCTTAGACAGGAAATTTTTTGTCAAAGAACCCCATACAGATAAAGTATTTTTGATTTAACCCTATACAGGCAAAAAACCCTATAATTGCAAATAACGGGAATTAAATTTAGGTTTGAGCTTGATGATGATAATAATAATAATAATAGTAGTAGTAATAATAGATCAACCTGGTATCACTCCCAAATTCCAAGTGCATCATAATATTAATGTATAATATAATAAAAAAAACGAAGATTAAATTTAATGAGTCAAAATTGTTTTATTAAGTATAGTTAAATGATTTTTTAAAAAATTTATCCGGGCTTTCATTGATTATATTTTAACCTAGTCAAAACTGTTTTGTTTTACTCACAATAAAAAGTAAAAAAAAAAGAGTTTAAAAAAACATGGTCATAATAGTTTTCTATATCCTTATCATCAACACTGTAATTGAAGAAAAACCTAGAAATTATACTCCAACATCCACCGACTAATAAAATAAAATAAAAACTATATAAATAAAGGGTCAGGTTTACCATTTTTCGCTTTACTTACCCTGCCAAAGCCACCGTGAAAATCGAAACCGGAAGGCTCATATATCTATCAGTTCTAGGGTTCCGATCATTGCCTTCAATCCCCAATTCCACAACACAAACCCTATAAAGAAACCCAAATGCATCCAAAACCGCACCAAATCATGGTCCAATCACTGGACCTTCGAATTCGCTCTCAATCCATAACCAATCATGAAACTCTTTCCGATCTCAAACGCTCTCTCTTTCCCCAATTCCAATCATCGTTCTACTTCACCCTCAATGGCAAGCCTCTCTCCGATCATACCTCTCTCCCCCAAATCCCCCCTCTCTACACCCTCACCCTCCGTCACCGACTCCTTGGCGGCGGCGGAGACGGCGGCGCAACCGGCGCCGAGTCCCGCGACTGTTACCTTAACATGTACGCTGACAAGAAACCCGACAAGGTGGACCCCAACGAACAGAGACTCTCCAAGTGGCTGAATTGCGCTCTCTCGAACGAACCCTTGAGGGAACCCTGCGTGATTGACAAGCTTGGAAACATTTTCAACAAGGAATCGTTGGTGGAAGCGTTGTTGGGGAAGAAGCTTCCGAAGGAGTTTGGGCACATTAAGGGTTTGAAAGACATGATCAATATTCACCTTTCTTCGATTCCCGGTGTGGATGATGGGGCAAAGTTTCAGTGTCCCGTTGCTGGGCTTGAATTCAATGGAAAGTATAAATTTTTGGCTCTTAGGAATTGTGGGCATGTTTTGAGTGCCAAGGCTTTGAAGGAGGTTAAGTCCTCTTCTTGTTTGGTTTGTCATAAGGAATATGATGAGGTTGATAAGGTTGTCATCAATGGGAGTGAAGAAGAGGTTAAGGTTTTGAGGGAGAGGATGGAGGAGGAGAAGGCCAAGACTAAGGAGAAGAAGAATAAGAGGGTTAAGGGTGATGATGGTGTGAGTTTGGAAGGGTACTCAAGGTTGAGTGGTAACAGGCATGGGGTTGATGTTAAGGCTTTGGCTAAGGTGGAAGGCAATGGGAAGGTAGCTAATGGCAATGTTGGTTTGAGTGGTGTTGTTTCTGCAAAGCGTTTCAAGGCTATTGATGTGGCTCCGGCAAATGCTACCAAGGATGTGTATGCATCCATTTTCACTTCGTCCAAGAAGTCTGAATTTAAAGAAACATATTCTTGTAGATCGCTGCCACTTGGTAGAAACTGATTGTGGTGCTGTCTGGTTCACTACTGTCTGCTGTTTTATTGTTGTTGGATGGACTGAATTTTACTGGCTGTAGAAAAGATTGACTTTTCCCGTGATATCTTTACTTGTTTCATTACCAGCTGATCATTATGGTTAATTTGTTTTAAAGGAGTTTTGTAAACATCTATATATTTGGTAGATTTTATAAGTTGTGCTCATCGTTCTCCTATATTTCTGATTATACATTGGTTGTGTCTACGGTGTGAAAAAATTCAGATTTAATGATCAATCTATAAAATAAATAAGATTTAAAAATTTGAATTATTTTAAAAAATTACACATTCAACCCATTTTTTTATTGTTGAGATAAATTTTGGATCTCATTTAATAAAATCAATTTTAATGCTAAAAAAACCAGTTTTTATGCTGAACAGTTTGTTTGAAAAAAGCAATAAGCGTTATTCATTTTGTGTAGGTGCATGTGATATCTACAATGTTTGTATTATATATATATATATATATATATATATATGCTAAGAAAATATATTATTAAAATCAGTTTTAAACTATATCTAAATTTAAAAACTAGTTTTAATTCAGTTTTTAAAAAAGTAATATAAATTAGCTTAAAATTCAATTTACATAATTAAATTTATACAAATCTAATCTATTCTCATTCCTAGTGTCATCATGCTGTAGTTAATATGTATGTGTGGACAGATCATCTGGGTTGAACTCCCGAACCTGCGACGTTCAGGTTAAATACTTCTGTATTAGTGCTACCTTCTTTGTAGATGAGAAATGGAATCCAACCAGCCATTTAAACTGAATATCCTCTACTTGGTTTTTTGCGTTTAAATATTGTGTATGATCCCGTATTTGAATTACGACAGTGAAAAATCTAGATTACTTTTCATGAGCAACGGTTAAAGTTTCATATCTTTCTATATGGTATACAGCATTACAAATATCTTAATAATAATAATAATAATATAACTCCACCAATAAAGTATAAACATCAGCTTAATCTTGCTTATGTAACACTCGGAAGATAGAGAGATCCATAGAATTACTATCAGTTTCCATGCGTGCTTAATTAACATTAACAACAAAATTAACGAAATTTAGTTTAGCTTAATGAATGACATAATTGACTGTTGCGTTCTTGATCAAACATTAACAATTCACCTATAATCCATGAATATAAACTTCCTGGCCCTTCTTTATGCACACGCACCGATATAAATCACCCGTCAACATTGCAACAGACTGTGTATTACGCAATTGGAAGATGAAATTTTCAAGTGCTTTAAATAGAAGTAGACCCAAAAAACAAACAAAATCCACAAGAGTCATATAAGCTGAATTATGTTTGAGGATACAAAATATATGTCATCAGGCGTATTTTCACAATGGATCTCTTTTCACAGCACATGCAAATGGCTATTGCTCCGTCAAGTTTTGAATAAGTAAAAAATCATGTTACACAAAACGAAATAAATTTAAAATAACAAAAAAATATAACCAAAAAATTCTTCCATTTCTCTTAGTATCTATTCCGAGTGATGGACATGCAAACATATCACATCTTGTGTATATTCTATATGATGCAAAGCAGTGATGTTAGGCAAACAATGACCAATCAGAAGTAGTGAAAAGTCTCAATTGGAAATAAGTAGTTCACACTGAACGGCAGGAAAACAGCTCACTCAATCACAACTTCAATTTCATCTCTCTTGATATCAGTGATGGCTTCGTTGTTTACACAGCGCAAATCAGGGTAATTTCTGTGGTTCAAAGAATGCAACCATAGAGCGACAGTTCCATCCTTCTGTTCTGTGGAAGCAATATGAGAATAAATGTTCTTCATCTTGAAGTCCTCAGCTTCTTTCTCGTAGGCTTTCATTGACAACTCCTCATGGCTATCTTTCCACTTTTGGTTATATGAAGCAAAGAAGCACTCATCCAAATATAATCCAACCTCAGGGGCAGTAGGCACATTAATGTTAACATCCCTGCATTTAGGAAAATAAAAAAGAAAAGAAATATTACATTAAACAAGAATCATGCTGCGTTTCAAATAGAAATTTATAGATAACATGAACTACAGAAGCAGTACTCACTGCTGCAAAGCTGTATCAATAAGTGACTCCAGTGCACAATTTCTCATGATTGCCACTGCCAGCCCAATCATCTTCCGTATCTGATGAAGCATGAAGCTCTGTCCCACCACTTCACACTTTACAAATTCCATGCCCTCAACTACAACAATAGTGTTTGCATCAAATGAAATGATGTAACGTCGAGCAGCGGGGTCCTCAGCCTTTGTTCTGGTCGTGAAGTTATGGAAGTTATGAGTCCCCACAAAATGTTTCAAAATCTTATTAAATCTCTCCCTCTCCTTCTCACCATAAACAAATCCACTTCTGTTGGTAGGCTTATCCTCTCCATTCACTTTTTCTTCCTCAAGAATGCCAGAATTATTTCCGGATTCACCATTTAAAGGAGTATGCTCATGCTGAACAGAAACTAGAGTCTCAAGACCAGATTTAGAGTCCATGTCATCAACAAAAACCTTACCCTCATTACTGGATTCCTCGTTTAAATTACTACTACCATCTTGTTTCAAAGCAACCTCTGCACCCTCTGTAACTCCAGAGTTAAGCATAGCACCAGCCTCAACATCCATAGCTTCAGCTTCTAGTTCCAGATTTTGCTTACGATTACCAACTAATCCTACCACCTTCCGGCCTCTCTCAGAACACTCCAAACACTTAACAAGCTCATTTTCAGATCCCAAACTAGCCAGGACAGTCTCTCTATCACGATGACAACTTGGATCCAGAGCAAACACTGGAATGAGATAGACATACCTCCTCCGGTCACAGAACTTCTTGGCATTAAAAGAAGCTGTCACTCGCTTGTAACCAAAGATCCTTATCTGAGAGGGAAGGTTTGAATTAAGGCGGTCAACAAGGCCAGGTGGATCAATATAGAACCGGCCTGACACAACCTGACCAACAGCACTAACTCCTTTATCAGTTCTAGCTGAGCGAGCCCAGTCATATCTTTTAGGAATTCCACGATCCTGTTCAGGGACAGCTCCAGACACATATAAGGCTTCTTCAAGATCACCTTCAATGGTCTTTGCACCAGGGTTTTTCTGCATACCCTGATAGCCAACACCACAGTACGCAAAGAAAATCGCAATCTTACGACGCTTGTACCTTTTCTTGGTTTCTGTGGCAGTTATGCATTCTTCATCATCAGAAGTAGTGGTAGACATCTTCAACTTTTTGGGCTCGGGCTCTTCTGTAGCTACTGGAGGCGGTGGAGGCAGGGATGAACTTGTCAGCGGTGTATCTGAGTTTTCCATTTTTTAGAAGTGATAAGAAAATGACTGGTAGAAGGCAATGTTTAAAAACCCGAAATGTTCAACAACCTGGAAAAGAAACCGGGTCAAGACTCAAGAGTCACTGGCCAGGCCAGAACAACTATGGCCATACCAATGACACCAGCATGATGCACAAACCTAAACAAAAATCTTATTTATTAATACAGAAATGAACAAATCCTACACTATATTAGAGATTCTTTCAGAACATTTCTAGTTTCTCGATATAACTTCAGATGCAATTTCCATTTCATCAAGTTTTAATGAACTTATCTAACCAACATTACCTCTAGTTCTTTGGCATTTCCTCTTGTTTTGCAACTTGCAAACTAGAGCAACAAAGAATTAACACATAAGCTACAACATCTATTATTTGCTCGCCAATTGTTATAAGTCTCCAATTTATTCTAGCATGTACATTATTTATGTCAAATTTATTTGTTGATTTTCACACAATAAAACAACATAGAATTAGCCATCAAGGAAGCACACCATCAGAAGGCACACAAGAAATTAATAAACTATAAAATGGTCCAAAAAAGACCGAAACTTTTCAATTAAAAATAGATGGGAAACATCCAAAGATCAATGGGCACATGTATTCATGAAGCATGAGATTTTACTAATTTCCACAATCCACATCCACTTTGGGGAGAGGGAAACAAATGGCACCAAAAGACTGTATTTTAAGAAATGAAGGGCGCATAAGACAATAAAGGAAAGTACCCAGACGAAGTATTGCGCGAGCAGAAGGAGGAGAAGGTTTGAAAGTGAGACAATGCTTGCTGAAGATGGAACTTCAAAACGAGAAAGTGCGTTTGAGAAAGATAGGAACAACGTTAAACCCTCATTTCATTGCGGTTCCAGAAACAAAGCATGCCTCCACAGACTCCTTACATTTTGGGCCCCCAAATTCAATTGCATTTGGGTCTCAACCCAAAATTGAATATATGAGAAAACAACAAGAAATAGAAATAGAAATTATTGACAAAGAGAATAATCATCTTATATTGAATAAATCATCTTTCCGGAGACAAAAAGAATGAAACTCATTCTTATATTATAAATTTACCTCTTCCTTCTTAAATGAGATTGATTTTAAATATTATATTTTCCTTTTTATTGAGTCACACGACTCTCATATCTTGAGCATTTTTTTTTTACTTGAATAAATTATTATTTTAAAAATATCACAATTTTTGCTTTTTTCTCTTTAAAAATTTTATTAGACTCTTGTCCTCAGAATTATAAAAATAATATAGTTTTAGACCCTAAATAAAGTCAAATAAAATTATTATAGAGATTAAAATATAAAAAAATCATATTTCAACTATCGATAACTTATTTAAACCTTTTGTTTTTATTCAATACTTCTTTTATTTCTTTCATCATATTATTACTTAATTATAATTGCATTTTAAATTTTAAATCTTGCTGTATTATATCAAAGTAAGTTCTTTTCAAAACCAATACTTGTGTCATAAATTTAATAATAAAATTTATTGAAATATGCTAAGAATAGTTTATTTTAATAAATTATACAAAGAATATTTTGAAATAAGCCAAAACAAAATTAATGATTCATAAACTATTTTCTTAAATTCTTCCAAACAAACCCTATACTAAATTAAAAATATTTTATACTATTATTTTTAAGGAAGAATTTTTGAACTCAAAATATGATACTAAAAAAATAATGTTGATACCAATCACTTATGATGATGTTTGAAAGAATCATTTTACTTAATACTTGCAATAATATTTTTATCAAAATCTAAAAGGAGTTCCAGTGATACTCTTTCTGTCGTACTTTATATTGTACGTTAAAATTTATTGAAAGTTGCAAAACTAAGAAAAAGAAAGAAATTCACGCATGTTAACACTTGTCAAATCTAAATACCTTATTTGTATAGTTTTAGTTATATACTTTTGAGATGCAAGTGTGCCCAATTGTCCCATAATCTCATGTTAATACCAGAAACAATTTTTGTAAAATGAGAATTGGATGCGCATGGCAAAATAAATTTGAAAGAACCAACAATTCAGAAAATCATATCAGACCTGGTTACAAGAACCAAAATTCTAGGATTAACTTTTTTCTAAACCATGTAATTACATTTATAAGTAAATATTTCTGCAATGAAGGAGAAGGATGGAGGGTGCCGCAAAGAATTCTTTCCTCTCACCTCCGCCAGGATTTCCTCAAATTACTGCTCTTGGGCATTCCTATGCAAAAGCAAGTTAAACAATCCAAAAGAACACCTTGGAGTGAAAGATATTGCCAACAATATAGGATTGGAATTTAAGCAAGTATGATTCGTCGGCTTGTTGCTGCTCCACTTAGTTTCCCCCACGTGGATGCAATGACTACTTCTGGTTCACGTCAGTTTTTGCTCCATATGATTAATGAACTAATCATTTGCACATATCAGTCACAGCTTGAACATTTTAGCTTCGGGCTAGATTTTGAAATTTAAACCATTGGCCCGTCAACTACCTTCCTTCTTATCCTCTCATAGGTGATCAACCAGCAAAAAGCACAAGACAGCAACACCAACGCTCTAATTGCAACACCTAGTGACAAAAATGCCATCCTGAAAAATAGACCACTAATATGTGATTTGTGAAAGGAGAAAAGAATGTATTGTTACCAAATGATAGAAAACAAGAGTGTGGTAAAAATTTCCGGGATTTCAGATAGGAGGAAGCAATGGTAACATAAAATCTTTAACATAAAGAAACTTATTTCTATATCTAAGAAAAACAGTGATCAAATGAACGGAAGAATACAGTAAAACAAAAACATGAAAAAGGATAAATTGCTTAAAAAATATTTAAAGTAATCTTATCACAAAATCCCAATCAAAGAATTGATGTAAAAGGGTGACCGACCGTAAAAGAGAGTTTTCTGAATATAAAAAAGAACAATAAGCCTCACATTGTGCATGAGATTGACTACCCAACGTTGCTATAAGCCACCACAAACCCTAAGTTGTATCTCGTGGCTGCCTTCTTGATCTGCATACATAAAGTAAAATGAAAATAACGTGGAAAAAAAAAAGAATCAGAATAAAAGCTGAAACAGTCTCAGTTAAAGCCAATATATCAAAAAGAAAAGGCAAGCAGGTGATGCAAATAAGTTTAAAGACCAGAAGATGTTTGTTCAGATGCACTTCGTATTCATCTAAATTCTCAATAGTCACTGAGATGCCTTTTCTAACAGTAGGAAATAAAGCCTACCCCAACCCATTAAACAAAAGAAAAATCGCTCTATTGATCAATTGGAAACATTAAATGGTAAAGAATGGGAGCATTTATCAAATAATACCGTTCAAATCATCTCTGATAGTTTTAGATGGCAATGAATCAGAAAGAGGCTGATATCCTTCATCTTTCATCAACTTGGTTAAGAGTTTTAACTCTGACCGTATTTCATCAACTTGTGGATGCATATTGTCTCCAACAACAAATACATGAACCAAATTCTTCAACTCAATCCAGCTACAACCAGGTTCTTTACTCACCCCTCGGGCCTTCATCATCCTCCTTACACGTTCCACATCTTCCCACTTTCCTAAGGCTGTATATATACTTGATAACAATACATAAGCAGATGATTCTGGTGAGCCTAACTCCATTAGTTTCTCTCCAGCATAAGCACCAAGTTCATAGTTACGATAGTTCTTGCAGGCCCCTAATAATATGCGCCACAAACACAGATCATGATCAACGGTTGCTGATTCAATGAACTCTATTGCTTCATTGAGTTTACCAGCACGGCTCAAGATATCAACCATGCAAGCATAATGCTCTACTGTTGGAGCAATGTTAAACTCATCAAACATCATCTTGAAATAAACCCACCCTTTGTCCACCAGTCCCATATGACTACAAGCAGATAAAATATTCACAAACGTGACATGATCAGGCTTTGTTCCCTCCGAGCACATCTTCTCAAACAACTCCAAGGCTTCATTACCACGACCATTTTGAGAAAGCCCAGATATCATTCCATTCCAGGAAATTACATCTCTGGCAGGCATCCTCCAAAAAATATGATACCCGTCATCCAAACTTCCACACTTTGCATACATGGCAGAAAGAGCACTTCCAATTGGTACTTCCAAGTTGAAACCATATTTAATAATCAGGGCATGCATTTGCTTTCCCTGATCTATAGCTGCTAGGGTGGAACAAGCCTTTAGGACACTCGCCATAGTTAGGTCATTGGGGATAACTCCTTCCATCTGCATTTTCCCATACAGATTTAAAGCACCTTCATAATCCCCATTTTGCACATACCCTGTTATGATTGAAGTCCAAAGAACAACATCAGGTTGATGTATATATTCAAAACCTTTACGAGCATCCTCTATACTACCACATTTTGCATACATGTCCACCAAAGCCGACAAAATGTACAAGTGCAACTCATACCCCAGCTTCAAAGAATAACCATGCATCTGTTTCCCTTCTACGACAGCACAAAGATCACTACAAGCATTGATCACCCCAACAAGAGTAAACTCACTAGGCAACACTCCAGAGTGGTGCATTTCATAAAATAACTTCAAAGCTTTATCACCATCCCCACACTGTGCAAAACCAGTAACCATAGCCGACCACGTGATCGAATTCTTATTCCCTGACAAGTCAAAAGTCCTAAGCGCATCCTCCAATCTCCCACATTTTGCATACATTGTCACAAGAGCATTGCCCACAGACACAATGCAAAGCAACCCATTTTTCATGGCAAGAGAATGAACCAGCCTCCCAGTGTCCAGAAACTCGCAACTCGTCAAGGCACTAAGAACACCAGTGAGCAAAAACTCATTCACATCCTCTTCTTCTTCACGACGCATGAGTTCAAAGAGCCCAACAGCCTCATCAGCGAGCTCCTGAGAAGCATACCCAGATATCATGGTAGACCAAGAAACGGTATTCCTCTCGGGCATTTCATCAAACAGCTTGCGAGCTTCTAAAACAAAACCCGTTTTACAGTAAACATTAAGGAGGGAACTTGCGACAAAGACGTCATCGGAGCACGCAGTTTTGATGGCGAGGGAGTGAGCTTGGCGGCCGGCGAGAACGTCGGAGAGATTGGAGGCGGCAGTGAAGACGCCGGTGAAGGTGTGGGCGTTGGGGAGGGTATTGTGAGCCGTGATCATGCGGCGAAAGAGGTGGAATACGAAGGAAGATAGAGAGTGAGGATGTTGTTGAGAGAAAGCATTGATGAGACAATTCCATGTGACAACGTCCTTTTGAACGATGTTGTCGAATACGATGTTCGCTTTTGATAAGTGACCACACTTAGCGTAGAGCAACAGGAGGGAATTAGCGATGTAGGTTGAAGAGAAAGAACCGTTTCTGAGGATCCGAGCGTGCAGTGCTCGACCACTTTCAAGGTCTCTGTGGCGCGTGTAGTGAACTATCTCTTTCAACACTTTGAGGTGTTGGGGAGGAACTGGAAGACGCATCCACCTTGTTCCACCAACAATGCACCACTGCTTCACTCTCTGCAAAGGATATTCTTAATTATCTATAATTTATGAAAACTCGATTTCGCTCTTTTTTATATAAATACTTTATATATTTTATAATTTATCGTTCTTTTTTAAAAATATCATTAAGTTTATAATTTATATATTTTATTAGCTTTTTTCATTTTATCTTAACACTTTTAAATAAATTATACATACACGTAAATTTTAAATAATTTTCTCATGATTTATTTTAAATATTTTATTAATATAAATATTACATATCAAATTATAAGTTATAAGCTTAATGTGTTAAAATATAAAATTCACACTGTATCTTTTGAGAACAGTATATTACTTAACGTGTTAAATTAAAAATTAATATGTTAAATAAATATTTTTTATTTTATTATTAATATTAACTAATTGTAGACATCAAATTAAATATATTTACTCTAGTGACTGAAGTAAGACGATTTATTAAGTTAAAAATAAGATTGAAAAAATTACAAAAATACATATTAAAGTAATAATCTGTTCCTAAAAAAACATTTTGAGACTTTTTTTCGTATGTAATTTTCGTTGTTTTATTCTTTTCCATCGTCTCGCCTACTCTGTGCCCCTCTGGCGTGGGTGATTTTCTCAGCAACTTTGTTTCACTTTTTTTCATCAGCTAAACAAACAAACTCTCCCTAACGACCTCAACACACGCCAGTTACCAGTGAAGCACGAAATTGGATGCGAGAAAACTCAAGATCAACAGCAATTTGAAACTGTAAACTTTTCACTCTGTCTTGCCTCTTTTTTTCACATTTGTTTGCTTTTTTTTTCCTGAAAATATAGATGCTGCTATGGGTTTCTTTCATCCTTTATATTTGATATTTGACACTTATTATATTTTTTATTCAATATTGATTATTACATTGATATCATCATTTAGTTGTACACCTTATGTTTGATGAAATGTCAGTCTAGTATGTGTGCTTCTTTCATGAAATATATGGTAGTTTTATGTTATTAAATTAAAATATAAAACTGAAAGACATACAGTGGTTTTACCTACTGTTTGAGTTGCATATGTTATACTTCTGATAGTGGAATTTGACTGGTCAGTGCAATATAGAAACAAATAGATACTATTGCTTGTGGCTTGATATGGATTTGATTTGCAGTTTAAAACTATAGATGTAAAATGCTTGGAATATTATGTGAAGGGGAAAATCGGTTAGAGGAAGAAAAAAATTAGAAAGAGAAAAAAATTAGAGAGATTAGAAAGTGTAAAAAGTGAACATCAGAGGTTTCTTTGCAGTGTTTTTGTGGTGTTTGTGCATCATTATAGTTATGTTTTGTATATTAAGTCACCTTCACCCTTCAGAAACTAGAAAAAATATCTCTCTTTACTATCGGTCTTTATTTTCCTTGTTTTACAGTAAACTTGTGCCCCACATACCGCAACTTGTGCTAATTGCATCATGAGCATATAAATCAAAGGATCTGATTCTGAAAGCATATCTGAATTTGCGTATATTGGCAGTAGTTAACATTATTCAATTGTTAAACTTGATGTCTATTAGAAGACCCCCATTCCCTCGTCTCCTCCTTAACAATGTCTCTTGCATGAGAAATGCGCAGCAAGTTCTGCGTCATGTGAACGTCTCTCTTCATGACGGAGGAGCACTTATGCTAACAGGTGCAAATGGCTCTGGAAAGACAACTTTCCTGCGCATGTTAGCCGGGTTTTCTCGTCCTTCTGCTGGTGAAATCCTTTGGAATGGCCATAACATTCAAGAATCTGGAATATTCCATCAGTATAAGCTCCAGCTTAACTGGCTTTCTCTCAAAGATGCTATTACAGAAAATTTTACAGTTCTTGACAACGTTCAATGGTTTGAAGTTCTTGAAGGCAAGCAAGGGAAGGCTATGCCTGCACTTGAGTTGATGGGACTAGGAAAATTGGCCAAGGAAAAGCCAAGGATGCTATCCATGGGCCAGCGGAAAAGACTGCAACTTGCCAGGTTGCTGGCAATTGATCGCCCCATTTGGTTGCTAGATGAGCCTTCAGTTGCATTAGATGATGAAGGTGTAAAGTTACTAGAGTATATTATTGCGGAACATAGGAAGCAGGGAGGAATTGTGATTGTGGCGACTCATTTGCCCATTGAGATAGAAGATTCCTTGATCTTGAGGCTTCCACCAAGGTTTCCGAGGAGGATGACTTTGGTGGATATGCTTGACCGAGCAGATATTAGTTAACTCCTATTTTTCACATTCTTGTCAAGACAGGATAAGTTCTGGAATCAGTTATGCGCAATGTCATTTGTGACAATTCAGTCTGTAACCTTTGTTCATGTATCTTGCATAAAACATGTTTTAAGAGTATCCAAGAATCATATTTTGCGGGGCGGCATTCAGGCTTTAGCTAAGAAGGATAAAATTATTATTCTACATATCAACTGCATTCTTTTTTTATGATTCAGTTGTTGGAGATTTTTCATATTGAAAAGGCCTTTGTGAAACAATATCAAAACATTGAAAAGTGGCATGCTGCATTTCTCCTAGAAATATTGGGAAAGAAGGAAGAAATTAATCGCTTAAAAACAAATTTTCAATGGAGATTTATATCATGTAATGTGTTGAATACTAGGGATCATTCTGAAGAAATTGTGATGCAAGAAGAGTATACGGCCATAATTGTATGTAATTATTATTTACTCGAAACAAAATAACTTGACTTCAGTGTGTTTGTTGAATTATTTTTAGATAGCTAAGTGAAAACTTCAATTTTACGGTTGCTTTGATTTTGATTAACATGTTTTGTTTCGTTTTCTGTTTTCACGTTTAATTATAAAATTGTCACTATTTTCTTTTTATGTTTTTTGTATATAAATAGAAAAAATATTTATCATTATTTCTTATAAAACTATTTTAAAATAGAAAATAAAATAAAAATAAGGTGTTAATTTTGTAATTAAAAGCTGAAATAAAAATGAAAATAGAATGTTTTATGAACCCATAGAGCCCTTATCTGTTGCTTGCAGTTATGTTTACTTATTCCAACAAATCTCAGAATGGTTACAGAATGGTGCTACACATTTGGGTTACTGTACCATTAGGGAATAACCAATGTAGATGCTACAGTTCCCATTCTGTCCTAATCACTCCTTTATGATGAAAATATTAACAGCTCTAAGTTTACAGCCAAATAAGATAACTGCATACATTTTCAATTACTTGTACTTTATGTACCACAAAACAATGGGTAGCTTGAGATACTGAGTCGAAAGAGTCCTTCATGATATCCTAAAAGTGACCAAGTGATTCGTTACTCACTGTGATCATAAAGTATGAAAATAGAATTTTGTTGAAATTAGTATAAATGAGTAGTACCACATTTCAGTCTTGCCACCTTCTTATAGTAAGAATCAATCGTAAAGCAATTTTCATCTAAATCTTTCACTTATTGAATAATCATAAGGGAACCCAATGACTAAGAAGTTAACTCATTTATTGCTTATTTTATCTTAAAATATCATTAAAAAGGGGAGGAATTTGATGCAGTTACTTTACAAGCATGAAAAAGAGAAGGAACAAATTAGATTAGTTAGCACTACTATGTCCATCACTGAAACAGGAAATTACATCAATGCGAAATTACACGATGAAACGACTCCACAACAGGAGAGTAGCTCAAACGATTTTGATGCTCCTGCATTCTTGTTGAATCTGAAGGAATCAAAAGCATGATCCAACAGGGTAAGCATCAAATTCCATTTATGCATCAATCAACATCATCGCATTTGATCCTGCATCATAAACAGCTTTTCATGAATGATGCAAATAAAACAACCGTTATATGCTTTAAGCATCTAATGACAATTTATGTGACAGCAGCAAACCAGTTTTGGTGATGCTCTTGCGATCAGAAAACCATAAACGTGTTTGGTTTGGCGTTTTCTAACCATGGACATGCGTGCGTGCATTAACGCTACAAATAGTATAGCTTTTAAAGTCTTAAACGCACGTATACCATGAATTCAACGCATGTCCAGACATGGATTAAAGCAAGATTAAAAAAGGCAACTTGTTTTTCTCTTAAAAATTGAAGAATTACAAGAAGGATATTTTATCATACCAGTTTGACAATTTCACTCATTATGTCATCCAAGGATCCAAAACTATTCTGAATGAGTCCTTCTTGGGACTTCATTTGCTGCAAATCGGAGGCATCATTTGACTTCATTGAATAGAGTTTCTCATCTTCAATGGACTGTGTAATTGATGGATTAACCCCATTCAGTTGGCCAACAAAAGGAGCATCAATTCTCTTGCTGCAAACAATATTATTTTGGCCTAAACTATGCCCCAAGGACATTGTGTCTCCATCAGGAGAAACATCTTGAAGAAGAGGCCAAATATATAGATATTTACAAAAACCCTTTACAACAAATTAACCATAATGATAAGTTGGTAATGAAACAAGTTAAGACATCACAGGAAAAGTCAATCTTTTCTACAGCCAGTAAAATTCAGTCCATTCAACAACAATAAAACAGTAGACACTAGTAAACTAGACAACACCACAATCAGTTTCTACCAAGTGGCAGCGATCTACAAGAATATGTTTCTTTAAATTCAGACTTCTTGGACGAAGTGAAAATGGATGCATACACATCCTTGGTAGCATTTGCCGGAGCCACATCAATAGCCTTGAAACGCTTTGCAGAAACAACACCATTCAAACCAACATTGCCATTAGCAACCTTCCGATTCCCTTCCACCTTAGCCAAAGCCTTAACATCAACACCATGCTTGTTACCACTCAAGCTTGAGTACCCTTCCAAACTCACACCATCATCACCCTTAACCCTCTTACTCTTCTTCTCCTTAGTCTTCGCCTTCTCCTCCTCCATCCTCTCCCTCAAAACCTTAACCTCTTCTTCACTCCCATTGATGACAACCTTATCAACCTCATCATATTCCTTATGACAAACCAAACAAGAAGAGGACTTAACCTCCTTCAAAGCCTTGGCACTCAAAACATGCCCACAATTCCTAAGAGCCAAAAATTTATACTTTCCATTGAATTCAAGCCCAGCAACGGGACACTGAAACTTTGCCCCATCATCCACACCGGGAATCGAAGAAAGGTGAATATTGATCATGTCTTTCAAACCCTTAATGTGCCCAAACTCCTTCGGAAGCCTCTTCCCCAACAACGCTTCCACCAACGATTCCTTGTTGAAAATGTTTCCAAGCTTGTCAATCACGCATGGTTCCCTCAAGGGTTCGTTCGAGAGAGCGCAATTCAGCCACTTGGAGAGTCTCTGTTCGTTGGGGTCCACCTTGTCGGGTTTCTTGTCAGCGTACATGTTAAGGTAACAGTCGCGGGACTCGGCGCCGGTTGCGCCGCCGTCTCCGCCCCCGCCAAGGAGTCGGTGACGGAGGGTGAGGGTGGAGAGAGGGGGGATTTGGGGGAGAGGGGTGTGATCGGAGAGAGGCTTGCCATTGAGGGTGAAGTAGTACGATGATTGGAATTGGGGAAAGAGAGAGCGTTTGAGATCGGAAAGGGTTTCATGATTGGTTATGGATTGAGAGCGAATTCGAAGGTCCAGTGATTGGACCATGATTTGGTGCGATTTTGGATGCATTTGGATTTTTCTAGGGTTTGTGTCGGGGAATTGGGGATTGAAGGGAATGATCAGAACCCTAGAACTGATAGATATATGAGCACTTCCGGTTTCGTTTTTAAGGTGGCTTTAGCAGGGAGTAAAGCGAAAATGGTAAATCTGACCCTTATTTTAAACCCTTTTTTTTTTTTTTAAACTTTTTATTGTGAGTAAAACAAAACAATTTTGACTAGGTTAAAATATAATCAATGAAAGTCCGGATAAAATATTTAAAAAATCATTTAACTATACTTAATAAAATAATTTTGACTCATTAAAAAATATAACAAAGATAAAATACATTATTAATTTATTTAAATTTGTAAAGAAAATATATTAAATAAAAAAGACTTTTATTATATTTTATTTATTATTTCTTATAATATTTTATATCTTTTATTGATTTATATAAATCAAGACATATATCACAGTTTAATTATATTTTTATTAATTATTAAATACAGTTTAAAGTAAAAGACTTGATTTAAATGATTGAAAAATAAATATACTAAATATAAAATAAAAATTGGAATTATGTTTCTGGGATTTATATGCAAATTCTGATATTTAAAATATAGAAAAGACAAAATAACGAAAACCATGAATGAACATTGAAAAAACATGATCACTATTGCATTGCTATGAGGTTTCTATGATCACTGATGCTGGAATTTCTATTTTGGTAATAAAGGGTATTTCTTTAAAAAAATTACAAAAAAATATTATGTATTTTTGTCAATTACAAGGAAAAAATCAAAGAAAGTGTTTCTTTTTCAATAAAGAGTATAAAAAACATAAAAAGAGTGCAGAAAAATATCGAATTTGAATCTCTTGCAGTCGAAAAAATAACTGCAGGATATGTAGTCTCATATTTCACCATTCATCATATATTTTTTATTAATATTTGATTTTTAAAATTTATTTATCAATAACTAAGATTTTTTTTTTGGGGTCAAATCAATAGCTAACATTAGTGACTGCAAGAAAAATTAACCGCAGAGAATCTGGATTCGAAAACATCTCCCTTGACATTTTCCGTAAGTGTTTTTGGAGTACAAATATAAATTAAACTAGACTTTTTTTCATAAAATAAATTAAAAATATTAATTATTTTCTGAATGTTCTGAAAAAAAATTATCTAAATGTCTTAAAAATAATTATTAGAATCAACTTCGATTGTATAGACTTCTAAGACATTTATGTAATTTTATTCTTTTCAGTACATTTGAAGAATAACTAATAATTTTTTAATTTATTTATAAAAAAAAAACCATTAAACTATGACAATTGACCAAAAACAAAATAATATGACTAAAAGCAAAAGCCAGAGTTACCCATTACCTTGCCGTGGACGTAGGGGTAGAATTGGAAAAGAGAAAAAAAAATCATTGTGTCGCCTATATAAACCTCAGCCATTGAAAGCGTTGGAGCAGATTAGGGTTTCTGCTGCAACCACACTCCCTCTCAGAATCTGTTTCTGATGCTTCAAAGAAACCCCAGTCTCTCATGCAGACCAAAAAGAAAAATAATAATAATAATAATATTAATTATTATCTCTCTCTCTCTCTCTCTCTCTCTTTTCTCTCTCTCTATCTCTCTCTTTGTCTCGGTGACTTGTTTCTGTTGTGATTTGGACCCTTTTTCTTTTCGTTTTTTTTCTTTGATCCTCTTTCTCTCTCTCTCTCCCTCACTCGAACCCTAAGAGGCTGTGAAGATGGTTTCGGAGTGTGGAACCGATGGGTCGGTCGCCGTAAAACGTCGGTCGCCGGTGGCGTGGCAACTTGATCGGAGAATTTGGATGGAGCTTTTTTTATTTCGTTGCAGCCATTCATGGCGGCGTTGCTTTTCGATGACCGATCCCATCCTCGTGCCTAATCTGAGCCTCACCGAACCAATAATCGAAGTTCTTTTCGTGGCTGGCGTTATCTTAATCCAATGTTTGGTAGAGGTGTTTGGAATGAAAGATGGAAAAAGTGTTATTCAGTTACATTCAGTGCTGTTTTCTGTCTTTCATTCCACACATCGTCTAACGAACGTTGCGTTGATTTGTTTTGTTCTACCTTGCTTCATTTTTTTTTTCTTTTCTTCAACCCAGAAACCCTGATTTAAACTCAGGACCAGATTTCCTAGTATCAAAATCTTGTGTGCATGATGGTTCTTTGTTAATTTTTCTGCTAATTTGGTTAAAGCTGACTTTGGGTTCCTTTTTTGTGTGTATAGGGATGAATTATAGCACATGGTTAAAGCATTGTTGAGAGGAAACTCATGTAACATTCTATCCTGTTTTTAATTTAACTGCAAATTGCTTTGATATAAACGAATATTGAACTGATGAAAAGCAAGCTAAATCATATCGTGAAATTTTATGTTCAATGTTACGTAATAACTTCAATGGTTAATATTTCTCTTGCCATTATGGTAACTTCGATACACATTACTTTATTAAAATCAAGAATATATAGATTCTATCAAGTTTCATCGCCAATATCAACCTTATATCTTTGATTATCAAGGCTTTAGCTAAGAATTGAGCTTTTGTTTTCATTTTACTTGCATCTTTCTCCAAAAACACATGCAGGAGAAAACTAGCAAACAGGACAAGACTCTAATAGCAATTATAATAGCTGCATCTACGCATATATATAATTGTTTTGAAGTTTAATAATGGTAAAATGCTAGCTTGACTACCAATAATCATTTTGGTAGGTACGTACACTTTTTTTATTTTTATTTCTTCCAACCACTCCATTGAGTAGCCTGATTTATGCTTGCAACATATCAAATTAAAAGCTAAAATAAAACTCAGACAAGCAAAGTATAAAATCATTAGGTGCAGTCTGAAAACTTAAATGATTATGCTCTTACAATTGTAACTTATCAGACAAAAAATTAAAGTAGTAAATATCCAATACATTCTAAACAATGTTTAGTTAACTTTTTTATATCAGCACGGGATAAAGGAAATTAGAATGTCGTGTGATAGTGTAGCGAGTGACACATCGCGTGCTTACATGAACTATGAACACGTTACCGTGCCGTGGTAATACATAATGCCTGTTTGCAACTTGTTAGAAATATGTCAATTAGTTGCCCTGTTAGATGAGGTTTAGGTTTTATTGTCGAACCTGTCACGTTGGTAGATCTTCCAGTTTGATTCGCTTTACGTTTTCATATATATTATTTTATTTTATTTTATTTTTATTTTTTTTATATTTTCAGTTTCTAGAGACATTGAGCGCACCATAATATTTACGGGTCCGGGGTCCATCAGCTAAGACAGAAGGATGAGATAAAATAACAATTGTATATCTCAATAACATTTTTTAACGGTTCGGTTATCAAGGAATCTGAATTTGTCTTACAAATATACTCATTGTTTTCCTCGACTTTAGAGGGAGTGTAGAAATCTGCACAATCTTTGGTGTTCCGAGATGCTTTGAGACCTTTCCAAAATCCCAGCACAAAAGCGGTGGCAAAGGCGCCTTGCCTAATTGAGACCGTGCCCCAGCTATTTTTGGAGAACCAATGTCGTGAGCGTTCCAGAGAATATATAACACGAAGATTAAGGTAATTGTGCGATCCCTAATAATGCTAGGTTAAAGACATTAATGGCCAAAGGAATGCAGAGTAAACACCAAAATGACAACTAAGGAGAGAGCATAGCCAACAACATTTGCACTGGCACCTGAAGACGGTGCAACGGTAGGGGAAGCACCAGCATTAGCTTTATTTGGGTTAGTCACTTCGGGAAGAGGTGGGTCATCAATTTTTTCAACTGTAAGGGGAGGAACGGGTGCCGGTGCTGGTGGTTGTAAGTCAACTGGAACAGTTTTTATTAGATCCCCAGGCTGCGCTGGTAAAATAGTAGGATCCGTGAGTGGATCGCTACATGGAGTTCCTGCAAATTTCAAAAATTTAGATGGGAGTTTGAACTTATGCTAATAAAAAATAATGTTTTACTCGTGCAATGAAATTATATTTGCTGGGAGTTGTTGATATTGGAATCACTCACTCATGAATCTATTTGCAGTGGCTGGAAAATCGGTGATGAATCCATCGACCTTAGCAGTTTGGATGTAAGTAGCAACTTCAACAATAGGATCTGACCAATAGTCGAATGCCAGGGTTGTGTATTCATTTTTGAGAGTGTAGACAAAGACTGTGAGGTTTGCCCCTTTCAACTGTTTTACAACATTTGTTACTCCTATTAAGAAGGAATCAGATGCTTTGATGACTGAGTTTTTGTGGAGATTCACTCCATCTGCATATTTCTTAATCTCGTCCACTGTTTGTGTTGGTACATCCTCTATTATATCATTAAATAGCATCACCCTTTTGTAAGATGGGATGTCTTTAAACTTTGATAGGACTGAGCTGTCATCTGATTGAATCAAGACTTGTTGTGTGGTTTGTTTGTCAAAGGTTGCATTGCTTAAAGCAGCAATAACAGAACCTACAATGTCAAGATTCTTTTTGGATGCAAGATAGGCAGCATTCTGAGGCAAATAAAAAGAGTTAGCATTAATAAGAATTTTTCGAATAGAAGCATTACAAGGGTAGTTGGGGATGGTACTCACTGGTACGTTTATCAAAATGCCAGGTACTGCCTTCGACTTAGCTAATTCCAAAAATTCTGGGAGGGTAACAAATTTACCGCTATTTTTGTTTGCTGGGTTCCTTTGGAAATCGTTGCCTTTCAAGCTAGAAATTTGAGCTGAAACAAGAAATTTGTAACAGAAGTTCATTGTTGAAATTATAAAGGTTGAATCTAAGCGCGTGAACTATTGAAGGTCTACAGAATTATTTACGTTTTAATGTCTGAATCTCACTCCATGTAAGGTCAAAAGAAAAAATTCCACTTCTTGGTTGAATTTCTGGAATAGTGGAAGATCGAGACACGAATTTAGTCAATGCAGTTGTATCTGTAGTTAGGTCTGCGGTACTTGAGCAGAAAGCAATTCCATCTTTTGTCATTTGAACTGAGCAATCTATAATGTCCGCACCATCATCTATTGCTTGTTGATATGCAAGATCAGTGCTGCCTGGATAAACACCGCTTGCTCCATTATTGCTTATGATCAA